AGCATTCTCTTGCATCGGCTCTTTAACGAGCTCGTTGGCGATCGTTGAGTCGTTCGGCTTTGATGCTGCCTCATTAAGTTAAATTGTGGTGAAAAAGTAGAAGTGAAGAGTTTTGTTTGTATTGGTATGTCGGCTTGTGCTCGCTCAACATATCAAATGCGTACGTGAATTGTGTGCATGCGTATGCCAATGTGAATGAGAAGAGCACTCGCATTGATCGTCAAACGAATAGCTTAAGCCGAGGCGCCAAATAGAAAACAAAGCGAACAGACGCGAGTTGTCTTGCTGAGAGCGAGAGCGAACAGAGTGTAAATATACTGGAAAGAGATGAGTGGATTGATAGATGCTGCATATTTACATACATATGTACATATGTGTACACATATATTACTATTTTTTTCTATACCCTATATTTGATCTGGAGTGAGGAAGTATTCTTTCTTTTTTGTGTATTGAAATAAAATGCTCGAAGCTCAAGGATTTAATATACATATAATTTAATATACATAAATTAACTCCAATCAAGCATAGGGAACCTTTTGTTGCTCCTTTGATGAAAACATTAGCATGTTGTCATTACAGAATCATAATAACCTCTTTTAATTTAACTTGAAAGCTTTTTCCTTTGAATTGAGTCTTGTGTGAATTCTACATTTTCTCTTCACATCTTATTTATCCTAAAAACAGCCCCAGACAGGAGTCGAGCTATATATAAAGAACTCGAAATACATTCAGCACTTATTTTCTAACTAATCTACAGGGGCTTAGCACAGGAATTGCTCAGCTTCCGCCTAGTAAATATTTTGCCTAATTCATACGGATAAAAGGGATTAATTTTATCCGACCTGCAGCTGCCTTTGCCGTTGCTCGCTGAGGTGTTGCTGCCCCACAAAATTCTAAGAAATTCGTGTTCTTAACGTCTGTACAAATTCAAAATGTTGCTATTTATACAACTCGAGTTCTGTTTACTATCTATAAATAAGAGCGAGCAGAGCCAAGAGTTCATCGTCTGACCAGCGACTTAAGCTACTTAAATTAAAAGAAAGAAACCACTCAAGGATTTATCCAAACTTGACGCAAATAAAACTTAACGTCAACTGCAGCACTTGCGCTTCCTATCTCTGTCTCTATCTGTGTCTCAATCTGTAGTGTCTGTAGTGTTGCCATAAATGTCAACCAGCTGCAAGAAGCAAGCATTTGAATTCTATGGCCGCGCTAGATAAAAGATATTTCGGGTCTGTGTCCGCTGAAGTGCTTTATAAATTTCACAGGTGTGCGCCGTGTGCTAAACACATTCACAACGTGTAAGACATCATAATTGAAAGTAAATAGAAGCTGCCGAAAAAGGAAAAATAAAATAAAAGAAAGGAAAAGAAAACACAAATATAAGGCAAACACATTTGCAGGCGCTTTTAATGACTGTGGCTCAGACACCCTCACCAGCCCTCCGCCTAGCCCGGCTCACCCCGGCTCACCCTTGGGGCAACTTGGCTGTCTGCTGACACCATTTTGCAGACACCACACACATGTACACAGAGGGCACACACACACACACACACACACACACACACACACATGTATCTCTAAGCACATGTCTTGTTGGCTGTCGTGTACTTCAATTAAATTTTAATTGAAATGAATATACGAGCATATTTTGTCGCAATTTTTTTTTTGATGCTTGTGAAGTAGCCTTAGTTGCAGCAGCCACAGTAGGGTGGCTCAAGCATAATGGAGAAAATGTAATAAATAATTGTTACATTTTGTTCGAGTTGAGACAAAGTCAGTTGAGATTCCACAAGGCAAATATATTTGCTCTGAAAAATATCTGCGAAAATATTGTGAGCCACCTTAATCTAAGCGTTGGTAAATTAAAATGCAACATTTTCTTATTTCATGATTTTAAGCGCAAATATATAAAGTGCCAGTGGACAGAGTGAAAGAGACAGCCAGCGAACGAGTTTAGTTTTTGTTTTTATACCCTGAACCCATTGAAAATGGGAAATCAGGGTATAATGGT